GAAACTGAAACTGAAACTGAAAAGTGCACAGAATTATTTGATCACACAGTGTTCACAAAGTGCATTTTCCTCTATTCTGCACTTTAGATGAATGACTGTTTAGGTGCCACTGGTACTCGATACTTTTGAAAATGAGTATTGTATCCGGATACAACGTTTCAGTATCGATACTTTTTTGAGTATCGATACTTTTGACAACCCTAGCTGTAAGACACCAGAAGATGATGGCCTTTTATTTAGACTCCTCAATATTCTTCAAGCCACCTTTGGAGATTTATAAAGTGAAGTCAGTCTTTGTCGCATCTGTACCTGACATTGTTCAGAGTTCATTTCATCAGCAAAATGCTAAGCAAAGTACAGTGCTTGTTGCATCTTCTGCTTGTGTTGATGGTGTTAAATATAACACAGATCATTTCAGTTGGCAGTTGCTCAGGTCTTCCTGAGTTCAGGAAAAAAACACATTGTTGTCATCAACACAGAAATCATGTTTGTCTGCCAGCTTTTGACAGTATGGTATGTTGAACATTTACATGCTTATGAGTTGTGTTCCACTGCAGTGTTAATTTCGTCAACCATGACGATGACGAAAATATTTCATCAACGCACCTTTTTCCAGTGACAATGATGAGACGACAAGAACAAAAATTGTTTTTCAGAAAATAAAAGAAGTTTCAGAAGTTGAAGAATTGAAGTTACAATAAATGCTGGAAAAGACGGTGGACAACAAATGGCTTCAAAAGGCCTCAAAAGACATAAAAGGTGTTAGGTTAATTACCTTCCAGGCATTCCTGAGGGACAGACTGAGGAAAGCCTTGAAGCTGAGAGAAAACTCCTGGTTGAAGAAATGAAAAAGAGGAACCCTAGTGGAGTTGTGATCGCATTAAAGATGGACCAGACGTTCCCATTGCGGAGACTAGAGATTGTGGAGGCCAGGCCTGCAGTAAAAAACTTGAAGTAGCGGTGGCCAGCGCTGTTTACTGAGAGACAATTAACTGCTGAAATATTAGGTATAGAAATAAAAATAGCTTTTCTTATTTTGTGGCATTTCACCCATCTGTTCAGTCTTGAAGAGTACGGGGGGTTAAATAATTCATTTTCGTTAGTTCCAGAAAAACTCTGAATTCTGATTTTATTGGCAGATGTTTGATAACGTTAGAAATATAAGAAATCATGACTTTTTCATCATAATTCAGTTTATCCTTTTTAGTGGCCCTAATACCTGTCCCATTTTCTTTTTTCTTTCTGCTTGGAAATTACAAAAATGTATTCTGTAGTTATTAGTAATTTGTCTACACTGGCCCAACACAGTTTAGAGAATCTGTTTTTGCTGTGTGTTTTAGGTGTTTGAGGAGTTCAATAGAATGTTCACCAGAAACCTACAGGTGGACTTCTTTGAAGCCCTGGATCGATACACCCCACAGTTTGTCAAGATATTCATGGCAAAGAAAGACAATGTGGGACAAACCCTGTCTGAGTTGATGCAACAACTGGATGCAGTGGTAAGTATATGTAGGGCTTATTTTGTCTTTATCTTGATAAGAGGTCTTAAAATAGTAATTAGTCTTTTGGTGCCCTTTTTATATAAAAACAATGGTGGGAAATAAATTGCTCACATTCTATAGATTCAGATACATTTAATCAGTTGTTAAGAAGCTATCCACAGCCGTAATAGTCAGTAACTTTTTTGCTGCACTGTCAATGTAGTGATACTTGTTTCTTACTTGCTCACTTTCAAATACTTTTGTTCAGTAACCTTTGAATGCTGCACTATCTAAAGCCTTATTTGTTCATCCAATTGTAGAAACCAGATGTGACGGCATTGTGTACTCCGAGTTCTCCCGGTTTTATTTGGTGATGACCCCACTGACTTCTATCTAACCTGCTTTGTAAGTTCTCTTAGACACATCTAAAATGAGCACACATTCATGGGAAATGTGTATCACTGTCTCATAGACATTAAGATTTAAAACAAAATTAATTGATACATTTGGTATTGTGTGTAAACAATAGCAGGGGTTGCAAGTTAGTTTACAGTTTGACGTATGCAACCACAGATAAGTTATCAACCTATCTTCTGTGGGTTGAAAGGTACATTGTTAATCTTATAAACTAAATTATGTTAGTCCAGGATCTAGTACAGAGTAATTTTTGTGGCTTTTGAGTTTTTGGGGTTTGGAAGGAGCTTTTTTCTTATATTTGATTTAGTCCAATGGCTGACTTATGGTTGTTAGCATGGTAACTTAAATCTGCACAAATCATTGCAGTGACCTTGCACAAGCCTGCTACTGATTTTTATTTCGTGCCATTGTTAGTGCTGAGGTAAGCCATGATGTTAAGAGCTGAAAGCTAGCCACTGGATGTACAGATACAACACAGAAATTGATCATGTTTCTCAATCATGTAAGTATTACTTTAATGCATAACACTGGAAGAGACTGTTAAAAAGACAAAGGATATCAGGGCAGTTTCAAATTTACAGTTAAGAAGGTTTCATTTAATGTGACACTGATGAATCCGAGGCAAAAGTATCTGTTGTGGTGTTGACCGTTGTCCCTGAATCTCTGCGACCCCCTCCAAATCAGCTCCACCTTCACCCAGTTTCTAATTCCATCATTGTTGAGGGAGACATTGAGCTGGAAGATCTCCAGAACCTACCTGAGGCACTTTGCCTCTAGTTTGGACTGTCATATGCTTTACATTTGGACTTTCCCAAAGCCATGAAAAATTTATTTGGCTTCATTCAAAAAGTCATGCTTGGCTTGGTAGACAACAAGCTCCCACCAAAACTGCAAAGTCTTAAAAACCCCTTGTTGAGTTAAAAGGCAATTGTATGACATTTGGCAAATGTCCCTTGTTAATGAGCCGGTTCAGTTGTTTCTGTCTTTTCATTTCTAGAGTTTCTAGCTCTTGGATTAAAATCACTTTGTATTTGTTGGCATTTTTTTGGCCCAAATCTATTTTTGATTTATTGAATTCATGTATTGGTGGCACTTTCAGCCTGTTTGCTCTTTACGAAGGCTGTGTGTTTCATTATAAAATATCTTTTAAGTTAATACTAAAGAAAGGTAGTTGGTAAATGGTTAACACAAAGAGGAAGAAAAAAACTTTGAACTGTTTATTACCTTGATTATTTTTGGTTTTTTTTATCAGAATTGTTCAAAGAAATATATTGTACACAAATATTTTACATTTTTTCCCCCCAAATATATTTTTGTTTTTTGTATTTATGTAATGTTACTCAGAGATACCAAAGTGCACTTTAAGGCTGGTCTGCTTGTTATTTCTTACAGTTGATCTGATTGAGTTTTAGAACTGTGATAGCATTAGACCATCTTTAGAGTTTGTATAAAACCAAGAAAAATAAACAAACTTTGGACTGTCTTATTGCCTTCATTGTGATGTTTAATTGTAATCCGGGATATTTTAGAAAATTGGAACCTCTTTTATTTATGTTACGCAGGTAGGACTTGTTTGGATTTTTTTCACTTAAAACAATCATTTCGCCTGATTTAAGCAAGTAAATCAGATTGCAGTTCTAGCAAGTGTAACTTAAGACATATTGAGTGAGCTTAACTGTTATAAGCAAGCTATATGGAATAAACTGAGAAATTTCACTTGCAATAATCTATTTAATTAAATGTTTAATTGTGAGTAGTCTTTACTAAGTCAAAAGTTCATCTAAAGTAAGTTAGCAAGTTCACATTACATGATTGTTTTAGTGGCTTAAACATATATGTAAGTCCACTCTACAAAGGATGCACTAGTTGGTACAACTTAAAACACATAGTCCTCTATACCTCTATACAACCGGTTTACATGCTTCTTTTAAGTAATGATAACTAATTGAATTTTGCAGTGCATGTTCTCATCTTGTTATATATAGTGTGGACCGTGTTTATTTTCAGCCATTTTGAATCCTTACTCCTTAACCCTGAAAATAACCCTAAGCCTAACCCTTACCAGTGCATACATCCCCATATCCCTAAACAAAATTTAATTCACACCTTTGCCCTAAACACATAATAAGAGTTGGGAACACTTGAAAGTTTGTCTATGAAATAGACTGGTGGTTTATTTGATTGTAAGCAGGGGGCTTTGTTCTGGTTGCTCTGTTTTGCACAAATTGTTCCATCTGTGCAGCAGCTGGATGCACCAAGACCACATTTAACGCATCAGTTTGATAAATACCCTTTTGATTTTTTCTTAAATCACTGTTTATATATACACATTTGTTATTTGCTGTTGAGAATATTTCTATGTTTGTACAAACTGTAATATGAAATAAAGAATAGGTTTCCTGTTATACTGATAATGAAAAATCATCTATTTGGCATTATCAATAAATCTTGCATTGACGATAGTAATCAGTTAAAGCCTTACCAGATATGTTGGTGGTAATTTCTGTAATGGTAGTTTGGCCAAATCCTTTGGCAGTCCGGGCACGAACAGAAACCAGGTACGTAGCTCCTGGGTGCAGATCAGAGAATATGTGGTAGGTTTCGTTTCTCAGTTTGGATAGGGTGCGTCGAGGACCAGGTGTATTTATGCCAGGGTCCGAAGATTCAACACACTGGTAACTGATCTGCAAACAGTAACAAAGATAAAAAAGAAATAAACAAGTTTGCAAAAGAAAGCTTGGACTTAATAAGACGTACATCCAACCTTTTTAACAAAGGTGTAGGCACATTTCAAAATTAAGCCCATTTTTGGCAGTCTATGGATGAGAGGAGGGGTACGCCCTTCAGGTCACCAGTCTGTCACAGGGCAACACAGAGACACAATGAGACATACAACCATACACACACATTCACACCTAAGGACAATTAAGAGAAGCAAATTAACCTTCGGAGTACCCAGAGACAACCCATGCACACATGGGGAGAACATGGAAACTCTATGCAGGACAACCTCAGGCCGGGAATCCAAACCAGAACCTTCCTGCTGCAAGCTAACAGTGCTAAAAACTGCACCACCACACAACCCTCATCAAGAACCTTTAACACTAAACCGAATCTGCACCCTTACATTGTACCGTTTAAGTTTTGAGTCCTTGATAATTAAGAGATGTATCTGTGAAGATTCTCAGTCATCCAGGTCATGGTCAAGCTTGAAAGCTTCAGTTTAGGCAACTGAATCAGAATTTTCTACAAGACGTTTCTCCTCTCACTCAAGACACTTCTTCAGTTCTACCTAGTGGTGTATGTGTAATAAAGAAGTGACCCTCATGGCCAATCCAATAGCAGGGATCATAGCCACCTTTTGTTCCACCTTATTCTTTGTTACATTTATAGTATATTAATCTCAGTGCTCCAGTGACATATGGAATATAGCTATTTTTATTATGAATGTTTAGTTGTTTTGGATAGCAGTTTAACCGTGTTTAAATGCCAATCTTTGTTTTAAGTTATTACATTATTTGGATCAGGGTTTTTTTTTCCACCCCATTTTAATCCATGATGGCTACCGGATCACCACAGCTTCACGGCAGGACTTAAGTGAACCAAACTACTTCAAATTTTCGAACCTATTAACCTGGATTGATCATGGACTAAAAACAATCAGATTATTGATTGATGAAACGTTAATCACTCTGCAAAGATAAAGAGCAGACTTAAAGAAGAGAACAAACTATCTTGGGTCTTATCAGGGTTTATTTTTTTGTCTTCTTCCTGTTGTGTTTAGTGTTTATACTTACAGGAAAATATAAATATGAGTACCTTCCTAAATATATGCAAAAATATACATTTGAATACAATAACTTAAACTTACTACCTGTCTGTGTCTTATTTACACACACACAAAGACGGGCTCCTCAGACAAACCTTTCTGATTTCCTATCACCATATTTGGCTGTAGTCAGGCGCCTAGCATTAATTATGTTACACGGAGCAGCAACTTACGGGTCTAGACTGGACGGTGAAGCAGGAGCGGCCGCAGAAAATTAGCATCTGCCACATGCTAATATTGACAAATAGATGTCCCGCCCCCAAGAGCAATATACTCCACCTTTAGTTGGTTCAGCTCCGCACACAACACTGAAAAGTGCCAATGATATCAAACTCTTGAAAAATAACTTTCATATTAAGGCAGGGGACACAAACCATTGGCATATCTTTCTGAAGGAGTGGTGTGGACATGTCCCCATCAACTTTGAAATGGGTGGACAGTCCCCACCAATAATTTGTACATTTGTGTTCGGCTCATTTACTTTAGCCAACAACAGTAACCTCAGGACGAGCGTATGTTCTGAGTTTTCAGTCAGCGTTTCTGTCTCGCTATCCCGCTGCTCCTGAGTCCCGCCTACTGATATAACATCATTGGATCCTCTGTCCATGGCTCCATGTCTGTCACTTTATGATAGAAAATGATTGGCAGTCGCTATTCACCGCGTCATCTGTTGCGACGTGATTGGAGGAGAGACGACACACAGTAGCACTCATTAATATTAACCAGCAGCTACTTCAGGTTTTATTTAAAAAGAAAAAAATAGTAGACGGGTTGGTTTAAAAAAAAAGATGCCACCGATAAAGTCGTCAGACATAAAAAGCTTTTTCAACAAAAAAAGCAAAGGAGTGTAAGTAGCCTTGAAAATTAGTATTGTAAAGCAATGAGTTTGACAAAAGCAGGTGCGTTTTTTTCCTGTTTTTATTTGTTATTAATGTTGCTGATGTTTCTGAGCCATTACAAAAGAGCCACTTAAAGGAACCAGTCTATCTGTACATTATAATATTTTTATTTTGTTAGTTTTGCATTCTCAGCAATATGAAAGCACTGAATAAATGTGTGGTGTTCAAATTTGTGTTTGGGCTTATTTTTAGCTAAATACAAAAACCTAACAAAAGCCTTTAAATCCTGTAATTGCAGGTTTATCATCCCCAACCCTTATAGCAGGGGAACCAATTAATAATCAGCGGGTCCCAATAAAGAAAATCATCAACCAGTAAAGGTCTGGAGACATTTTTAATGATCTGTTGCTTTAAACAAAATTTAACACTGAAATATAATGAGGTGTTTATGCATCTATGTTAAAGATTGAATTTTTTAATTAAAAAATAAATAATTTTTTTCTATTTTAAAATCTAAAGTGTTTTTTTGAAGTAGAGAACAACAATAGTTTGGTATACAGACAATTTCCTGATTCACTTATTTTATAAAACACCTGAACTGACAGTTTGTTTTATTTATTTCTTTTTTCTGTCTTAATGAGAGCAGTGGGCTTTAGGCTGCCCTGCAAGGCTTTAAACCTGGGTTTGAATGGAGACTAAGCCATTCTCAAGCACATATCAAGGTGCTCATTTTGAGCCTCGATCCAGATTTATTTCTGATTCTGTTCATGGTGGAGAATCCTGCTTCACAGCAGCAGGTTGAGCCAAACATCCTCTAAATGTTCAGGCTCCGCACCGGTCCGGCCAGGTCAAGATCCACTATTGCAATCGCACCAAAATGGAAAAAGAACGGCGACAAGATCTGGTTTGTTAAATTGAAATATAGTAACAACAGATCGATAACTACAAATTATAACATAATTCTTATATATGTCAAAAAACTAACACCGTTTATTTAAAAGATTGGATGTTAACTATTGGTGCTTCAACAGACCAGGAAGCAGATTTCTCATCTCCATCCATCAGAAACCGCACATCTGCTGGATTTTGACGGGGATTTTTTAAACATGTTATATTAAATTAATTGTTCATTTCTGCATGTTTTGCTCCTACGAATTTAATGATAATATCTAAGGCTGGGTATTTTGGCCAAAGTCCTGAATCGATTCGATTTTGATTCATACAGTTCTGAATTGATTAAATTTGATTCGATTTGATCTGCTCTTACAATAATTAAAGTGGCTCAACTTTTGCACAATACATATGTATTTTTTTTTTTCTTTCATATCATACACAAAGGGCAAACAAAGTGCAGACTTGTAAACACCACAGTTTATAAACTTTGGATGTAAACGAAACTGTCTCAATTCAATTCAGTTCAATTCAGTTTATTTATATAGCGCCAAATTCACAACACATGTCAACTCAAGGCACTTTACAGTTCAACCAGATCATACAGTCAAATTGATACAAAGTTTTCTATCTATGGAAAACCAGTTGATTGCATCGACTCATTGACTCAAATACAATCCCTCACACTAAGCATGCTTGTAGCGACAGTGGAGAGGAAAAATCCCCTTTTAACAGGAAGAAACCTCCTG